CGGGCGTTGGGCGGCGCCCGGAAACGGTCAGCTGCTACGGGGAGCCTGTCACCGGTCCGCGGCGTCCCAGGCAGGGTTTGCTGCTTGGGCTGCACTAGGGTCTTGCAGGGCGGCTCTGTCCCTGTGAGGAGGAGGAATCTGAGGGTGTGTTTTCAGAAAGGCTTGAGAAGGAATAAGTGTGGCTGCCTTTTAGAGGAAGGGAAGGGGGATTAATGGAAGCCAGAAGGTAACCTTGAAAACGCTGAAGTAATTTTTGACCTGAGAATCCGGAAAGGGTTGTAAAGTCTGGAGGATCAACATAGCAGTACAGGAAGGCTTGTAAAAAGGAATCTAATAAATGCTTAATGGGAAACTTAAAAATTAACAACAAATATTCTCTTGAACACACCTGGAGCAGGAACTTGCAAGACAGATAGCAGGCCCGTGTTAAAAAAAAGTGCACTGTCAAGACCGTTGTAGTAATGAAGCTAAAGGAGTTCTCATGTTTGTGCCATGGCGAGGGAACTGGGGAGGTTCCTACGTTGCATCCATTTTTATGGGAGATAGTCAGAGGCTCTATCTTGACTCAAGTGACAGCAAGAAGAGGTGAGGAGTAGACAGACAGTAATAAGTTACTAAAACTGGCTAGTATTTACTTAATAACTCATTGGTGCCTCAGGAATGTGGCAGCTTACCTACCCAGCCTTCTGTAAAACCACTTCATCCTCCTTCATTGGAGGAGGTATGCACAATGCTGTTTCTCTTTTTAAAGGATCCAGAAAGAAACAGATCAGCAGTTTGACTTCTGCACCAGCCAAACCAATAGAAGCCATTTTAAATAACGTAGCTAGTAAGGAGAGTTGCATGGCTTTTGTTGAAAGTATTCCTGTCTGGCAGGCTACTCTCTAGGTCTTGGAATATGCTTGATAAGGTTTGGGCACAGATATGGCTGGAACTGGTGCAGTTGATATCATCTGTATAGTTTCGAAAGAGACGCTCAACATACAGAAGTATCAAAGGCCTTTGAAGAAATCCAGTATATGTAGAACGAAAGGGAGGGTCCTTCGGTGGAGAAATAGCTGACTAAAAAGAAGAGCGTGTGGTCATCTGCCATGATGACAGATGGAGCTGTTCTGGGAGCTTAATTCAATATGTTCAGGAGCAATTAACTGGGGGAAAAGAGGCTGGATGGTCAGATGAAGTTTGCAGGTTACACTAACTGATTGCTGGGGTAAGTGAGGCCGATGAAGACTTGCAGGAGCACCTTACGGTCCTGAATGACTGGGTCATATCACCCTGTCATGGCCGGATGATGTTCACTGTATTATGGTGAGATGAAATCCAGAGTAGATACCTGATGTCCATAAGGAAGACCCATTTTAACTTTGCATCATTTTGTATGTAAAATGAATGTGCTCTAAGCTGACTGATGGTGCTTAGGAGCAAGATAAGTAGGTCATAACACATTTTCATGGAAATATCAGCTTAACACTTAGTAGCAGCTCATAAAAGATAAAAAACATCAGGAATACTGAAAAAAGAGAGAATAAAAAAGGGGAATATCTTGTTATTATAATTATGTAAATTATGCTTGTAATTTGAATACTGTATGCAGTTTATGTAATTTTTGAGATGGGTAGGGAATTTAGTAGAATGAACTGAAAAGGTTTAGAAAAAGACAACAAGGACTAAAGGAAGAAAAAACAGCTTCTCCAGAGGGATCAACTGAGCAGGACTCTGCTTTGGAATGGTGGTAACTAAGGGGAAACAAAAATGGTCAGTGTCAAGGGGAAGGTCCTTCTAAAAACCGGAAGGAAGTCACCACCACTTTCAGTTACCCTTCTAAAGAAGGCATGATCCTGCTTTATTTGGGCAGAAATTACTTAGTTTTTTAATTTGGTGACAGAACTTCATTCTCTGAGGCAATAGACAAGGCTCAATGGAAGCTGGCACCTGCCTGTGCTTTTTCACTTCCTGGACCCTTTTGAAAGGGGTCAAGGCCCTGCGGTTGGATTCCTTGTAGATCCCTTCAGTACTTGGCACTGGTTGCATTAGTGGCTTTCTCTACATTGCCAACATCTTACTGAGTGGCACTGGGGGTGCCAAACAGCTCTGTATTGTGACATAGGCATTTTGTGGATTTAACCAGCATGGTGGGCTCTTCTTTTAAAAATAAATAAATACATAAAAATACTCTATTGTGTGGATTATGCTCAGACTGTTTCATTGCTCATGTGTGTCTCTTCACTCATAAGCAAGTCTTGCAGTTTTCTTTGTAGCTTTTATCATGTCCCAGAATGTCTTATCAGTTTGAATGAAGCGTTTAATTTGCAGTAACTGTGAATGGTTTACCAAGTAAAATGCAATTAGTGACTTTTCAGGAAAAGATTAATCTTATTTGGTGAGTAAGAACAAGAATGTTGAAGTCTTTTGTAAGTTGAACGTGTTAATTTCAGGCATTTAAAGCTTACCATTTCTTTTTTTTTTCTTCTTCCCTCTCCCCTCAACCCCCCAGGGTCGATAAGGACAGGAGTGGAATAATATCTGATAATGAACTTCAGCAGGCATTATCCAATGGTAAGTCTGTAAATGAGCAGTGAGGTAGTTCATTGTAAACCTAATGCTAAATTTCATGTTAGACTGGTTACCTAATTCCAGAATATCTTTGACTGGGCTGAGGGGGATGTTCCTACCACTGATTAATACTATTTAATCCACAGCAAAAGGCTGAAGGGAGGAAAAAAGTAGATAATCCCCCTGATTTTATTTTATTCATTTAGTTTTCGTTTGGGTTTGTTTTTTTGGTTTTTGTTTTTTGTTTTTTTTTTTTCTGAGCCCATTTTTACTTTGGGGTGGGGCGTGTTTTTATTTCAAGGAAAGTTTTCTGGGTTTGGTGCATGTTAGTAATAATGTATTATAAACTGAGTACCTATTGTCAGCATTACTGATTTGTATTCTGGGGAATGAAGGCATGCACATCCCTTTATTTTTTCCACCTCTGCTTCCTAGAAAACATAAACTCGTATATAGAAAACATAAACTTATATATTCCTCGCTCATCACTACTGAACCTTTGTTTTTTAACCAGGGTCAGTGTATAACCTGGACAAAGATCAGATGTTTACAACCAGCCTTTTTACTGCACATAAAATATTTTCATACAGTGTGGTGCAGCAGTTGAAGATGGTAATTTAATTTTTTTTTCCAAATGAGGCATGTTTGGGGTTTTTTTCCTAATAAAGTAGAAAGATGCACTCTAGATCTAGTATTAAAACCTTCTAGGAGTCTGTCGGTTCAGTTCCCTGTCATAAATGGTTAAAGGATAACTAGGGTATGGTCAAATAACTCATGGAAGCAAAATAAAAACTAAAATAAAAACTTTTCCAGTAGCCTATTTTTACTTTCCTGTGGTGACCTAGTGTTGGTAGAGTTGTAGTTTGTGGTTGTTTTTTTTCCCACTGAGAAATCTGAAAATGTGCATATTGAAGCTGTTTGTGCACCTTTGAGTCCATATCAAGTTCTCCTTCTTCCAAGGTTTAATTCCTTCATCCTTCCTGTGCTTTGTGACTGAGAAGGGCTTAAACTGATGTTGCGAGCCGCAGTGCACACAGATTGAAAGGCTCCTTTTTGTCATTAACTACCTGGCTTGAAATAAATTTGAATGGCTCTAGTTGGTAAAAACGTGGTCTTGTAATTAGGCTGGAGTTAGAATATTTGCTTAATAATATATCTGATAAATTAAAAGCAATATATTGTAGCTGCCGGACATGATCCATAACTAAAATACTATTTTGAATAAAAACTTCAGCAAAAGCTAAGTTAAATTAAGCCACTGTTTTAATTTAAGATTACAGTGCTGTTTATAACTGTGAGAACCTGGCTTTACCTGCTGCTTTAAACTTCATATATTTTAAATATCTTCTCATCTGATTGAATTTAAGGGTAATAGGCAGTGATGACTATCTGAACTCTTTTTTTTCCTCATTTACAGTGTAGAGTAGCAGTTTCAGTGCTTTGCAGTTATGAAGAATCCCCACCAAGTGAATTCACTATTAGACAAAATATTTGCAGAACTGTAAGCTTCCTTCTTTCTGAGAGATTCTAGATCTTGTACATCAAAGTCACTAACAATTCACTATATTCTTTTCAAAATATGTCCTCTAGTGGATGGTTGTGTGTAGCTGTCCTGCAATCTAACATGGGCTAAAAGAATGTTATGTGTTTATTTCTAAAACATTTTTTAAAGTCTGCATAGTGCTTATTAAAATTTGAAGTTCAATGTGTTTTTGACATTCAGCTTTTCAAGATGTCACATTTATGCAAATAACAGTCTACTTACCTGGGAGGGACGGATCACCACTTCATATGTTGTTTGCACAATAAAATCCTATGCTTCCTCCTTGATTTTTTTTGTCTGTGATGCCATGTCAAGTTAATAGTAGAGTCAGGGGAGGAGGAAGGAAGAGTCTGTCACTGTTTATTGGAACAGGCTGAAATCAGTACAGTTTTTCGGCACTGGAGCTGCTCTGGTTTCACTATATAGTGTCTATGAGTCGCTTGAAAATTTTAACATGAAATAACTTTCAAACTGAGTTTTCCCTTTTTCCTCTATTCTGCTCAGTTAAATGCTGGCACCCTATTAATAATTCCATTATTTTTCATTTTTGTCAGGAGACATACAACTCTAAGGTACTGATGTTCTCTGTCTAAAATACTGCTTAAGAATTTTCAAAGCCATGTTCACTCTCCTTTTTCTCTGCTTGTTTCTCTTTATGTGCCAATAGTCATATGCCCTGCCTACAGTATAGGGTTTTTCCCCTTTGCTGGATCTGTAGACTTGCACTGATAGAGTTTACCTTCTGTGGGAGAAATTCGGCACTGGTATAAGTGCTGCTTACCCCACTGCAGCTTGGTCCAGCAAAGCAGCTCTGCCTTCACAAAGCCTGCTTAATCCCAACACAGCCTTTCTATTAGGTATTTGTGGTCAGCTAACTGCATCGTTGCTGGTGCCTCTACGGTACCCCTAGTCTTACTGGTTCTTTTGTGGTCCCTGCACTCAACCACAGTTAAGTTAATGTATGCTTCTTGGTCTTCCTGGTTCCTTCACTGGCTCTAGAGAAGTGATGGTGAAATTCTAGTTGAGGCATAGTTTTTCTCTTAATTTAAAACTTAATGCTTTCTAGCACTCTGGAATGTCCCCAACCAAGTGAAAACTACTCCAAAGTGACTAGCCTCTAAATATTCAGAGAAGTACAAAGCTCTTCAGATGAGTACTGCTCAGGCCCTTTTAAGCAGGAACATTTCTTGGTCTGAAAATGCTAATTTAAACTAAGACTTCATTGATTTAGGAGTGGAGGTGGGATTTATACGAAACTCAACTCTAAATTGCACTGTGTGGTTATGCCATGTTAGGAGCCTTTTCTTTTCACTTGTCAGAAACTAAATGTCCTGGAGTAGGCCACCTGTAAAATAGGAACTAAGCAGATGGGTTTTTACTGAGGAATAGGTATGAGACCTTGTTTGAGTTAAAATTCTTCTGCTCCCATCAGTAGAAAAAGGGGGACTTCAATTTTGATCTTGCCTTTTATCCAATACCTCATGACTACCTGGGATGAAAAAAAACGTTAGTTCTTCCAATGCTTTGGGCTTTTGTTTTTTTTGTGGTTTTTTTGGTGCAGCCTGAAGAATGTTTGTTTCTGTGTAGTATCTGTAAAGCATTGCTCTGAAGTAATCTCTGAATGGTCAAGAACATAATTACTTCAAAGCAGCCTTATTTTATAATATGCTAGCCCCATGTCATCTATCTCTGAAGTCACTGTTTAAGTTCTTACCTGATTTTTTTCTTGGTTTGTTGGTTGCATTTTTTCTTTAAAATGTTACTTAGTATTGAGGAACTAAGTAATTCTTTCTGTTTCAGGCACGTGGACTCCATTTAATCCAGCAACAGTGAGGTCAATTCTTGGTGAGTGTAGCTGTGTGGTGTGAAATAGTCAAGATAGTGTTTTGTGATTTGTTCAGACGATTGTGACTGCTGTCAGTTGCTGCACTGTTTGGGTTTTTTTTTTTTTCTCCAGAGCGCCCAGCAGTAGTAAGTTAAACTTGAGTGTTTTCCC